ATGTTATCAGTTAGCAACTTAGGCTTGCTTCCAAATAAAAATTGACATTCAAGAAATAAAGGAAACAGTTTGACTAATGTTTCATATAAAACAAAGGAAATCACAATACCTTCAAAGAAGATCTGAAGTCTCGTTAAATTCAATGTCAGTGCTTTACGACTTCGCTGCTTTGCGCGTCACTTCGGCACGTCGTTCGTTCTGTCTTGCTGACGAAGATCGGAGTTTGATAAATAATGGTTAAATTTGTCGTTTTTGAATCAAACGGGGGGATGCCTTGTTTACGATGAACGGGGGTGAAGCTGACACAAATTGATGCAGAAAACAGGCACCTAATCATAGTTCAAAGAGATAGATGAAATTCGCAGGTGGGCGTGAGAGGCATTTTCAAACAAAGATAGAAAATGGCTTTTGGAATGGACAAAGGTCGTTATCAATCTGCTGAAAATAGAATTGCCATTGTTATCAAGAAATGTTTTTCGAATAGTATTCGTAGAACTGGGCCAAAGCTCAGCAGAGAAAAATATTATTTGCTGGCCAATGCTACATCTATCATTTGAAGTTTAATCTAAGCAAAAACTCAAATACTAGTTAATGTTAATGTCAGTTGATATCTTCTATTAGAAATGAAGTATTCTCATTTTCATAAGATACCGCTTACGACAGGGACGTCGGTAATAATTCAAGGTTGGAGTGGCACAGATAGTAAGGGGCCCAATATCACAGAAAAAGGGGCACCATGTCACAGAAAAGAGGCATTTTTCAGAGAGGTTTCTTTGAAATGGGCATTTTATCATAAAATGGGGGCACGTGCCCCTTGCGCATCTCCGGTTTTTACGTCTCTGGCTTACAAGAAGCTAGTAGCCCCTGTTCTGAAGACTTAGAAGCACTGCTGGAAGGGACCTACAATCAATCCCACTTTTTACTTCAGAATCTTTGCTTTACAGGGACGCTGGAACACAGTTTAGGTAAAGGTGGGATCTAGATAAATTGGCAAGCTGTATTGGTAGTTTTCCACCATGATCTTTGATACCAAAACCTGAATATCGTGAGGTGAGGTGACTAGAGCTCCCCTCCCCCAGTTTCCCGGCTCCTGCGTGCCTGTTTTAATGTTGTTTAAAATATGCATGAACAAATCACTCCCAATAGACGGTGTAGAAGTTACGCTTTTTATGTATAAAACTGTTGGATTTCATGGTTCGATCCATCTCATTGAATAGTTTAATTCGTAGTTCTTCTTGGCATCATCCAACAATGTCTGTTACCCAAAAAGGGTAAATTGGATGGGGTTGAGTTTATATTGAGTCCAGGTACTTACTTGAGCAAATTTACAAATATGATTTGGATCATCAAGAAACTCAGCAAAAAATTGTAACTGTTCCGAGCGATGCCATTGTTCAGTGTACCCACGCTTTTTAGGCCTACTAAATTTTGATACGACATACTGTAGTTTTGGTGCAGCAGGGCAACTATACAATGTGCAAGAGAGGGGGAAGAAGGGATGGGAAAAATAAAGGGGGGTGGGGAGCAGATACCCTTGATCCACTGACTTGCTTCTATGGTCATGATTTAAGCATATATAGGGACCCCAAATTTGATACATCTTTTTAATGACCCTTGTCATTGCAAAGCAATCCAAAAAGTGCTAGCCGTTTAGTGCTTGCAGTTTAGCATTATGATATTCGGGAAAAGTGTTGGATGGAAAGTTCTAACCTAGCATTTATACACTTTCTTGGTGTGTAAATGGAAAAATGTTGTTAGTGATAAAAATCATAAGGAGTTTTTATAAACAATCCATTTGTTAATTTTAACAAAAGCATGTTTGCTATGGAATAAAGCCGCTGCATCTTTCTGCCATCTGAAGGGATGTTCAAGTTTGCAGCTGTCTAGATCCATGCTAATTTGAACAAAGCAACAAATGGAATCATGATTCTGTTCTTGCTGGGAGCTTTTTTATTTGAGTCAAAACCATAAGCATTTGGTTTAGGTTTAATACTTGCTTTTCCCTGTACTGATCAGCGTAGATTTCCCCCCGTTATCAGCAACAAACATCCCACCTGTCAGCTGAAAAATATTTAACACAAATTGACCAATTAATATTTCATGAATGTTCACACATCGAAATGTTTTTGCCATGTCTCATTTGCATCCTCAAACAGATTGTTATCAATAAATAATTAAAGTTGGTTTCAAAATTTTCAAAGCTAGGGAACAATTTCACTCTCAATCTTTCACGCAAAAGATTACAAATATGATATTTCAACACATTGCTTCAACCAAATCAGTTAGTTTTTCTTCAGCTTCTGCATTTTTCAGTTTTTGAGGTTTTCTTTAAAACCAAGAATCTTGTCTTTTATCGAAAATAATTGACACCACAAATCGGGATCTTAATTTTTACAGCCTTTTGAATCAGATAACGATGAAATATTGACGAGCCCACTTGTGCTAACGTAAGAACGTCGAAGTAGGCAAATGTTTTCGTGGCAATGTCTTCAATATAGTTTTATATTCAGTCTATTATTTGATAAAATCTCTTCCATTTTTCCAGAATATTCTCCATAAGAAGCAGGAACATTGAAGAACTTCTCGTTTAATCACTAAGGGACGAAAATCTAACGACGGTTGCACAACTGCTAAAGAATTGTTATTTTAAAGATAGGGTGAAAATGATTCTCTAAAATGGCAAGGTATCTGTTTTTTAGGGACGTAGCGTGTGGAGGGGGGGGTGTGGGGGGGTGTATACCCCCAACTTTCAGAGAACTCGTCGGTAAAAATAAATTTATAACAAAATTTTAATGTAACAAAAGAATTTGTTGGTAAAATATGGTTTTGCATTTCTTACACCCTCCAGCGAGAATATTCACGCGACACCACTGCTGTTTCTGGTTCAATTGGCACTGTTCACGTCATGATCAAATAAATTGTTAACAAATCAAGAACATTGTTACTTAAACGTTGCTAAGCTTCTGTCCACAACTAAAGCTTCACTTTCCTTCTTATTCCAATAAATACACTAAGTAACCTTCAACTATCTACACGGTTTTATGTGTTATTCAAATGATGCTTATTCTTACCGACCATTCGGTGGAAACTGAAGCTCTGTCTGGTGATCGTTTTTAACCTAGATTAAGGCTTGAACAGCCGTTGAAAGGAAAGGATGGTCACCTTTGGAAAGACAAAAGAGAAAGGAATTTTGAAAGGACAAAGAAAGAAGAGTTGTTTGATTTGTTGGCCATAGTACAGTCGGTTGCCTTCGTTGCCAATACACCAATTCGACTTACGGCCTCGTTTTGAAAAATTCTTCAAATTCTTTTGTACAAAATTTTTGACCTCAGATTCGGATTGAGAGCAATGATTTTAGTCTAATTGTAAGTTTTCATTATGATATTGCTCACGATATTGGTTTTATGACGACATAAAGATAAAAACTTTATAAGAGATTTGACCGTGATTGGCGACTAGGGGGGAGGGGGGTAAAGTTTCCCCCGGAACGATTTTTGCGGTCGAATCCCTTACAAGTTTTCAAACTTTATTTCTCCGTAAAATCTAAAATACAAGCTCAAACAGTATGAAAAATGGTATCCCGCCTAAAATTATGACGATAAAACCAAATCTAAGCTTAAAAAAGTCGTATAATAAAGTTTGGAGAAATTTCCAAATCGAGGTCATAAGTCGAATTGGTGTATTGTATTACACTTTTTTTCGAACTGTTCTTAATCTGTTCTTAAATTAAGAGGGTGTAAGCAGTGCTATTGCTAGCTTTTTCGCTCTAAGGAGGTGTTCAGGCTTCATTTTCCAACAAAGTGAGTGAGACTGCCTTAATTTGCTGACAAATTTGAATATTCACCGAAAAAACACCCACACATCGCTAAAATCCTCGATTTTGAGAAAAAACATTGTTCAAAATTGCATTTTGCAGAAGCTCAGCCTCCACTTGTTCTTAATTTGTTCTGAACTTTTGACCAGTCTTGAGGCTCGTGTTCTTATAAAATTGTTCTTATAAAAAAGTGTGTACTCAGTGCCAGCACCAAGTATTGGAGAGTAATTATTCCCCAAAGCATTGAAACGAGGCTAAAGGGGAGTGAACTCACAGGACACGTCCATTACCCTCCCACTCTGCAATATGGAACAGCCGGACAATTATTGGCAAGACCGGCAAAAGGGGGCAAATTGTCCCAGGTCCTCGAGGTCTAGAGGGCCTCATAAAGTAATGAATTCCATTTTGTGAATGGAATTATTCAAATGTAGCAGAAGTATGCCTTAAAATAGTAAAGCGTTTTAAACGACGTCAAAGAGTGGCTGGAAGAAACAAAAAACTGCATTGACCTCTAGGTTATAAACAGTTCATTTCCCAGCACAGATTATTAGAGTTTGCCAGTTTTCACCTTCCCCTTGCCACTTTTGAACCAAAATTGTTGATAGAGCATTTTGGTAATAAAAAGGATGAATTTTGGATAACAAGCCAATCAGGGCGTTATTTCCCCCGTGACTGTGTGACCGTTGGTCATAGGAAATCATAGGTAAAGTATTTTCCTCACAGGAAATTTTCAACTATGAGTAAGCAATTTAACAGTTTTATACACTTCACGAAAAGGTAGGTAGTTTGGAAGGAATATAAATCCCCAAAAGAAAATAATCTCATTACATTGAAAAAGAGAAAAATTATTTTTAGCACATTTTTATCATGCTAGGCTAGGGTAGCAGAAACCAGAACCAGAGTTAAAGGGGGTAGTGAAATTTTATAGAGACATTTATCTTCTTTTTGGATGCTTTGCATTTACACAATTCAAGTTATCTCATAAACAAAACAGTAAACTTCTGATATTTCAGGGCATCACACACCCCCTAAATAGATTCCCCATTCATACTTTTTGTCATGTTCACACCCAGGGGGACACACCCAGGTATGATTAACATTAATTCATGGCCTTTGACCTGCTGCTGAATTCAACCAAGCTACGCAACTCCTTGGCACAGTTTAGAAGAACAGGCTTATGACAACCTTTCTTTATTCATCAAGTTCTGATAGATTAAACCTTTGTTGCAACGATACATATCTCTTCCTAAAAATACATATTAGAAGATTTTAAATTCTTTCGATTATAAGAGATAATTTAAATTGTCAACTTCAGTGTCATATTTTTCAGGCTTTTACGGCATGATGTTGCTTCCATATCAGGACTGGACAATCCGAGTGGTGAAGCACATAATCACTTGTGCTGCCTAAAAATGTGCGTCTGATCGTTCCAAGGCCACGTGAACCCATCACAATACAATCAGCTTTTGATTCCTCTGCCAATTTACAAATTTCCGATCCTGCAGAACCATGCGAAGTTCTCAAATGGCCTACACTTTTCACTGACTTTTCCTCTAACCGTTTTTTGTATTCAGAAAGCAATTTCTTGCTCTTTTCGTAGCTCTCGCGTATCGCTTCTTCGTATGTGTCTGGGATAACTATCGGCTCGGGGCCTAAAATGTAAGGCACTTCAACTTCGGACATATCATGAACACAAATGACATTCACTTCGTCGCCATCACGATAAAGATTGCTCAAATACCAGCAAAATGCCATTTCTGCAATGTTACTGCCATCAACAGCTAAGACTATGCTTCTAGACATTTTGGCCACTGCTGAAAATACTTGGTACAACCTCACAAAACTTGAACGACGACTACACGAAAGAACAACCACAACAAACAGCCTTTGTTCAACGAGGACGAAGGTCAAAGGGCCTGGGTCGGCCAACGTGGTTTTTGTCACGTTTGCGATTCGGCACGTGCACGCCAGTCAGTGGCGGCTTTAAGAAACCAAATACACGGGATATTGCGCGTTTTTAGCCTGACTTGCACATCGGATAGGGAAAATGGCGAATGATTATCCGGTGCACCGATAAGCTTGATAAATTGTATTTTCTGAGCGTATTTACCGAACATGGAATGGACAATTACTATATTTCTGCATATGTACCAACTGTCGAAATGAAAAGTGTATGCTAATTTGGTCTAGGCTAAGGAAATGACGCTTCATTCAATCATGGCAAAGATATTCCGTTTCTCTTGGTGAATTTAGATGGAATTAGACACTTTACAACAAAAAGATTACTCCAAATTTGTCCTGCAAACTTTAATACTGTTTTTCGCTCATAATTTACACCAGTAAAGTAGGTCTTTTAGTGTCATTTCGGCCAATTTCTATAAACAGCTCCCTAGCCGTAAAAGTGGCCTTTGTTTTTTGTACCGCCATCCTTTATCCAAAGAAATATGGTGATAAGACTGAAGAAAGAACCTTTATTATTCGTTTCCTTTAAAAAAACATCCAAAAATGCAAAAGCTTTGCACGATGAGCACGGATACAAAACACTGTTTTATTGCAAACTGGCGTGTTGCCACGCGGGATGTCCCTTGTGACCCTGCCCCTTTAAAGAGGAAATGAAACCAATTTTTTTTTGTTAAATCCTGAATCCACAGAATAAATTACCTTATAATCCAAAAGTTCAATGTATTTAGAGAATTTTCGGCTAAACTACGAGGGCGATACTGACTTCAGTTTTTCAACGAAAAAGTGGCACCGACCGCTCGCTGTTTAACTAGTCTCGTTTTGAATGTTGTGACGTAAAGTTATGGACACGTGCGGTGTTTCGCAATATTTACATCCCGTTTCTACGTACTGAAACTTTAGATTAGCTATGGAGTCAGGTAACAAAACTAAGGTTCGTTGTGGTCTACGATGTGTTCCCTGGTCCTAGGCGACCTTTCATTCGTTTAATGCAATCAAAAAACTCCTGGACGTTTTTGACACGAGGCCAATCGGAATATCCTAACCGGATTCTTCGGTTTCGCCATTTATAGCTCAACCAAAGTGAAGGGTCTTTAGGAATGCCAACAAAAAGCAAAACAAATTTCCCAAGCTCCACAATATGCTTTTAATGCTTTCATTTTATTTATTTCGTTATAGTCCTGGAAATGCCTCATAAAGCGGTAAACGTTGACAGGAACAGGTTTCCATCAATCTCTAAATACAGAATAAAAAGATTTGTCTGTTTCAAAATAAGTGTCAACAGTGGCGTAGCGGGGAGGCAAGAGGTCAACGTGTTTATGCTAGTTTTACGTGCATAAGAGAAATTATGATTTTTTTGCGAAAGATAATGTACATACTAAAACACTTTCTTACTTTACTTTAGGCCCTTTTGTCATGTATTTCTGAACTATCAGAGTTCGGCCACAAAAAAGAAACAGACGAAATCAAGGACGTAAATTGTTTAGATTTAGAAAATCAGCAATGGGAGAATATTTCACTCTGATTAAAAATTGTACGTTTGTGGCAATGTACAATTTCAATGAAATTTATGATCATTTATGCATTCGCTTCACAATGGAATTACTAAAGAAAACGATGGAAAGAAAGCGTATCGACCACTTTTCGGACTTAAATTCAGTAGAGAAGCATTAATATGACAAGATATATAGTATAGCTTTATTTCAAAGGAGGAATAGAACAAAGTAAATATTGCATGAGGCTTATAATCAGGATACAATATCCGAATCAATTATTTGACAGCGTGATTCAAAATACTTGGTAGTTAAGCAAAAAGTCCCCAGTTGTATATAACCATGTGTCCATTGGTCCAGCCTTTAGCGATCACACGATAATATCGGTACTTGTCTGGGTATAACGCTTTGATAATCTGGCTTTTTCGAAAAGGGAATGTACCTGGCGCATGCCATTGATCTGCTGTCCCTTCGGCGACCATCTTCCAATCAGTCCCATCATTCGATCCTTCAAGAAAAAACGACCCAGTTGGTTTATGAGATCCACCAGCGTACCCTGTCACAGCAAATGCTCTCACAAAATAAGGCCTCTTCAGGTCCACTTGTATATAAGCTATACCTTCGGAATCTGCTTTTGCCTGAAACCCGTAAGCTCTCCACGATGAAGCGTAAAGCCATTGCCTTTCGTCAGCTACGTTTTTGGCTTTGCCCCAATCAGTTTGCGGCACTGGATAAAGAGTGAAAATGAAATCATCTCTGTTATCCTTGCGGAGAATATTGGTCTCTGGGCTCCCAATTGATTCTGTGTTGTACCCTTTCACCTGAATTGGAGAAAGAGTAAGTAAAGAGAGTACCCCACCACCGGCAATACTTTCGGTAGCAGCATTTTTAAAGAACTGAAATCAACTATTCTGTGTCACCATAGATGGTGTCACAGAGTGTATGTGTTCAGGCACAGAGGTTTGAACCTGCTTTTTTCCGGTTTGTCTCTGGTTTTTCCAGTATGCCAGTATTGACGCAAGCATCAAAAATCACTTCCAAAGCTGTCAACATTCTAGCATTAAAAAGGCATGGCTCTGGGCATACCGTAAAAACCAGACCCTAAGACCCAGGACCCTTAAAGGTAATGTGTCCTTATAAAAGAGCTGCGTATACCCAACTTGTCAAGCCATCTATCGAAAAAACGGCTTGCGATTGGTCACTATTCCTGCGATGCAAAACTGCTCACATGAAAAGCTAACTTCGCAGCAGGGTAGAGAAACAGAGCTACCATAATGGCCGGGGCGATGAAATGTAAAATCACATGTTTTTGAAAACCCCCGCAGAGTTGCTTGCTTTAGCTGGACACATTACCTTTAAGTACTAACACCAGAAGGGTCCTCACCTCGATAAGACAATAGTTGATCAAGGTTGACTGTCATCATCGCACCAAGAGGACATATCAACTGTCAAATGCGCTTTTGTGCCAACTACGGCGTTCTTCCGCACATTATTCACATCAGCTGCTGCCTTCAAATAAGTAAGAAAGTGACAATAAATTTGAAGATTTTTCAGAGTCGTTTAGCCTCTTGGAGCAGGGAATTTTTTAACATACTGAGTGGTGGGGGAATCGCGCCACCAGGCCCTACGAGTTCCCCCACTACAGAAGAGAAAAATGCTACATTTGCCCCGAATGTCGGTCATTTTGTGGCCCTTAGAGATAAAAGTAACCGGTGTTTCAAAAGGTTGGTAACAAACTTGTACACAATATAGAAATTAATTGACAAATAATTACAGAATATTCTCTTTTTTATCATTTTTGTTCAAACAAAACAACCTAGCCCTGGTTCCTGGTATCTAGTTCTCTGATCACAACGAACGTCAAAAAGTCTGCCATTTTTCTGTGACTTTCACAAATCGGCGTTTTTACAGTATCAGTCAAAATACCAGCTCAAAATGAAGCGAAGGGAGAAATGTGGTCATGAAAAGCGTTGTGAAAATAAGAGAAAGGATCTAAGGACAGCAGCTGCTGCTCCAGGCCAGAGGTCAATTGTTGATATGTTCAATGCCAGAGCAACTCCTGGGCCTAGGCCTACTAGTAGGCCTATCGGGTCTTCTGAACAACAACAAATGGAGGATCAAATTGACATGGAAGTACAAATGTCAAATATTTCAAATCAAGAAAAAGTGTATCAAGCAAAGATTGATGGTTCCAAAGAGGAATTAGAAAGTTTGGAGATCGTCAACAATGAACTAACAACACAACCTAGTGCACCACAGCAATCACAGCAGCCATCAACATCAAGTGGTAAACGGGAAAAATCAGTCAACAGTGCTGAGTCCCAGTCACCATTGTGGTATAGAGGAAAGAAGCTTGATATGAACTGGCTTCTTTTGTCTGAACAGTGCTTAGATTTAAGGAGAGAAGAAAAAGACAAACGACAAAGACCTTTCATGTCTTGTTTACTTTGCAGAAAGTATGAAGGTCAAGTGATAAAGTTTACAAGCAATGGACAGCTTCCCATATCAGCTGGAATACGTGTGGATGGAAAAGATAGATTGAAAAATGTTATAGATCATCTTGAACCACCAGTCCATGCAGAAGAAGCAAGGTTGGAAGATTACAATCTTTGGTACGCATTGCTGTAGATGTGTACAACGATGCAAGAGCTGAAACATTAAGTGCACGAAGTTGGCCTTCAAGGTCTCTTTCATCAGAGTTCAGTGATGGCTTGATTCGCCAGTTTGAAAAAGGAGGGTGGGAATCAGAATTTGCTCCATTTAGCCCATGCGCATCTGCTTTTCATTACAAAGATCCTCTTGTTTATGCAGAAATGACAGAAATTGTGGCATCTTTGGAAAAGCAAAACATCAGTCAAGTTTTGAAGCAGTGTCCTTGCTTTTGTATACAGATTGATGGAAGTACTGATAAACAGCAAGTTGACTCCAAGTTCATCACAGCACGATTTGTTCCAACAGATGAAGTAAGTGTAAGAACAGTTTTTCTCGGCATTGCAAGCAGTGAACTTGGTGGTGCAGATGGTCTTCTGGACTGCAACAGATGGAGAGGCTGCAAATACTGGTAAAAAGCAAGGATTGTTGAAACTACTGAAAGACCACATTGGCAAGGATATTTTGACTGTGTGGTGTGTTTGCCATTGGTATGACTTAGCACTGGAATCCGTACAGTCCAACGTACCTGAACTTGCTCTCTGGATGACAAATGTGCTGGCTGTTATATCATTTTTTCGTTCATCTCCTTGAAGAACAAAGCTACTTCATAAAGAGAACGAAAACTGCCTCACTTTCCCAAAGCACTTTGAAGTTCGGTTTGCAGAACATACCCTTAATGTACTTAAAGCTGTCCGTCATAACCTGGAAGCAGCAATAAATTTTTGGACAAAGATGTGTCATGGAACAATTCCAACAGAGAGAACTGAAAAACAAATGGC